CGCAGGAGAACCCAGCAAGGGAGGCTGCAAGTGTGACCAATGGAAAACAGGATCAAAATGGCCAGGAAAGCCATCAGACAGACAGGCTGAACAACAAGTGCTTGCACTGGCGACCTTGAGCTTGGGCAGACAGAAGCGGTTCTAGACAAATCATCACTGGAAAAGGGGTTGGTTAGAACTTGAGCCAAGGATTTCTGACCAAGGGGCTCCATCACTGTTCCCCCTCCCTGCCCCATATGAGTTTCAGGAGGGTGTCTACCTGAAACCAGGCCTGATGGACACTGGGCTGGGTGCCAGCTCTCCCAGGCCAAAGACTGCCCGGTGGCCCTTCCGGATGGCACCCTGGGCTGCTCGGGAGAGTGCTACAGGTGCTCTCCAGCCTATGAAGATCCAGACAAATCTGGTTTAAATCCAAAAACATACAAAAAGTTTTGCACTGGGGACATACCTCCCTCCTCTGCAAGGAGCCTGAACCCCGTTTTTGGAAGCCTGATGGAGTCTGGTGTGTGTCAGCTGAAAGTTAGAAACTGCCAAGAAGAAGGCAGATGGATAGGTGGTCTTGCCAACTCACTCTTTTAAGGTGCTCACATGAGGCTGGCACCAGGGGCAATATGGGATGTTTGGGATAGAAGCAATATAAATAAATTGGGGGACTTCTGAGGAAGAAACAAATATGCCAACTCCTGCAACTCTTGGGGAATGAGCAAGACAACAGAATAGGGCAAGGAGAGGGGTTGCCCAGCCTGCCCTCCACTGAGCCAGCACAGGTTGGCCTACACACTTGCTCTTTTGCAGTGCTTTTAGCTGGGATCAGCAGGAAAGAGGCACACACTGTACCTTTGCACAACACTCCGCCAAGCCCCAGGCCCAGGCCTGCTGCTGCTTGGAGTCCTCCAACACAACCAGACAAGGAGGGCAGACCCACCACTTTATACCCGAAGCTCTGCTCGAAGCATCCGCAGCTCGGCTCGAGACAACTGCAGCCCGGTTGATGCTGGCCTCACCACGTGGGCTGTGCTGCACTGTGGCCCTTGCTTGCGCTCCCATCCGATTTCTGGCTGGATGTATTCTGGGTTGAGACCATGACTCTTGTCGGACTCGTTTGTGTCACTGTGCCAGGAGCCATGGAGGAGGACACCAACCTCCTAGATTCAGCTCTTGGCTGGGACATTTCCTCTTTGTGAGACCAAGCACTACTGGCTCGGTGCTGTCACTCTTCCTCCCAACCCAGTTGGGCTGTCACACGTTTTCCTCTGGGACCTCACAACGACAGCAGCCCCTGCCCAGTCAACATGGCCCTGCGTAATGTCTTCATTCATCTCCACACCTTAGCTGCCTGAGGTTGCTTCCATGGTACAAAGGAGGGCTCTGAGACTCTGAAGTTTGGGAAACTTGCAGCCACACAGCCAGAAAGTGCAGCTCCTTGAGAACCCGGCGAGCCTGTCCCAGATCCACGTGCCTCAAAGCCACGCTGGGGCAAAGAGAAGGTGATGTCTGGGTTCCTTCGCAGAGCCAGCTGGTCAGCATTCTGTGGGGTGGGAGTGGGAGACAGAGACCCTGGCACCCAAAGGAAGTAACCCCAAGGGAGTGCTTTAGTTGTCACCAAGACCAGACCCTGCCAACAAAAGGCCACCTGGGTGCAGGGCACTCTGTCCTATCAGGTAATGGAATTGTTTTTAGAAGCAAGAATGAGCTCATTACGGATGCAGCTTGCGCTAATCATGATAATTTGCTGAGCAGTAAAATCACCTCTCTGCCTCCTCCCGCCGACAGACAACGCTCCAGAAATTATAGGCTAGGGAGAACCAGAAAGGACAAAGATTAAGGAAAAGAATGGTGCTGCAGAATGGCTCCAACAAAAGGAGTTGCAGATTTGCACAGTGAACTTGGTGATCTTAATCACGAAGTTGGGGAAGAATTAGATCCTAGTGATGAATTTTTTAAATTGCTTTTATTCAATTATGTTCCCTCTGTCACTGAGTGGATATCTTTTTTTTTTTTTCAATTTTACAGCTTGAGTCACTTAAGAAAAAAAAAAAAACTGGCGCAGGCTGGATTCACCGCTGACTGCCATCCTGATGCACAGTATGATCTCATGGGTGTGCGCTGTGGTGAGGAGTCGTGCCAGGCCTGGCATATCCTTCCTCCAAGGCCCACATGACCTTGAGCTCCGAGCAGGCATCTGCCACACCACGCAGAGCAAGCCAGGCACGCAGTCCATCCCTGGAGTGTGTTTCTGGGGGGCTGGAAGGCAGTCCCGGCCACACAGCCCTAGGGAGGTGAGAGATCTAGCTCACTCCTGGTTCCCCTGTGGGTTGTGCAGACACTCTTCCCAGGGAAGGATGGGCCCTGCGAAGAAGCTAGGAAAAGGGGAGGGCAATGTGGCACAGCAGTTAAGCCATCACCTGCCAGTTATTTCTATGGAGATTTTTTTTTCTCTAAATGCATCATGTGTAACAGATCAGAGAAAATATTTCATCAATGAAACCAAGGATTTTTTAAATTGTTTCCTGATTATGAAAGCAATGCCTGTTGACTGTGGAAAAGCACAAATTAAAACCATTCGCAGCACCATTATCACCATCAATGACTGCTGTGCTTAATACTAGAGGTTAGCTCTTCTCTTCCTTAATAAAAAAAAAAAGATTGGCTTTGTTTACGAGGCATAGACAGAGATAGAAATATCTCGTCTCTTGGCTTATCCTCTACAGGTCCACGACAGCCAGGTCTGGATGCGGCTGAAGCCAGGAGCCAGGAATGCAGCATAGATTTCCCATATGCACAGAAGGCACCCAACTGTGGGAGCCCTCACCTGCTGCCTCCCAGGGTGAGCATTAGCAGGAAGCTGGAGTTAGGAGTGAGGCAAGAACTTGAACCCAGGCACTCTGCTATGAGATGTAGGGGTCTTAACTGCTGCGTTGAATGACCATCCCCACCTTTTAAAACAAGATGATAGCCGTGTGTGTGTGTGCATAGATATTCTGCTGCTGCACATTTGTATGGACTGCCATTATTCATGTACCACATTCTGAATGTTTTTCCACAACAGTATTCTCCCATGAAATCATTAATTTTCTCCTACAATTCACACATAAAAGTCCTACAGATTTATGGAGTGCCACGAGGGTTTTGATCTCTGTGAGCACTGCGGAGTTCAATCAAGGTGAGCGTGTCTCCCCAGACAGTGCTCCCTTGTACATCACACCACTCCTGGATGTGTGTCCAGGGCTATTGCTCTGGGCACCGTACCTTGCCGCTCATTCTAGTCTGTTTCTCTAGACAAAGAATCTTAACCATTTCTGTGCCGGAGATCCATTGGCTAGCTGATGAAACCTGTCATTTCTTAAAGCAATGCTTTCAAAGAGCTGCAATAAGCATGTGTAAGAAGACAAAGGAAGCAATTCAAATAGCATCAAAATCATAGAGACCAGATTAGCAAACTAACCTTGAACATGCCTTTACGTATCCATATTAAATAACAGAACGTAAGGAGTAGAGACAGTACAATGGCTCCTGTGGGAACAAACTGGCGGTGAGCCTTACAATGACCTCAGGTTCTTGGCACAGGAGGCATGGGAAGGGGAAGAGCTGTGAATTCTGCCCAGCTGAGGTGACATAGGATGCTGTGATTTCTCACTTGCATTCACAAGGGAGGGAAAACATAACATTTCACTTGGATGTCGGTGAAGACAAAGATGAAACGTGTTCCATGAAGCTCTGCAGCCTCCTGACTCCTCACCTGGGAAGCCTGGGATGGTCCAGGGAGCATTCCTGCCCCAGGAACCGCTGATGACCCTACTGGCTGACACGTGTTGAGCTTTATGACAATAATGGCATCTGTCACAGCTCCTGGAACTTACTGTAATAATTACTTTTCATTCTCTTTGAAAGGCAGAGGTGGGGAAGCTTCCTTACTCTGTTTCATCACCCATCCAAGTCCCTCTCAAATGCTAGACCCAACTGAAAGCCAGAGGCCCGGCTCTCCCTCTGAGCCTCTCTTGTATGTGGCAAGGACTCAAGTCTTGGAGCCATCACCTGCTGCCTTGCAGGGTGTGTGAGAGCAGGAATTGGAATCAGAGACAGAGTCGGAACTCAAGCCAAGCACTCTGATACGGGACACAGGCGTCCCAGGTGGTGTTGTGTCTGCACCAACCACCCACCCCTGAACTGCTTTTGACTTCTTCTGAGTGCCACTGGGTGTGTGTGTGTGTGTGTGTGTGTGAGAGAGAGAGAGAGAGAGAGAGAGCAAGAGAGAGAAAGAGAGAGAAGAGACAGAGACTAAGTGTGTTGTGGTGTGACTCCATGTGTGTGGTGTGACTGTGTGTGTGTGTCCTCATGGGCCACAGCGAAATCTGCTCACTAGTGCTTGGATGGAATTGTGTTCCTCAGAACAAATACCATGGAGTCCTGGTCCCCAGGACCCCAGATTGTGGCTTCTTTGGAAATAGGGTCACTGCAGGTGTCATCAGTGAAGAGGAGCTCATGCCAGAGTAGAGGGGACTTCAACTCCAATGGGACTGTGTCCTTCTAGGAAGATGGCCACTTGATGATGCTGACACACACGGGGGGGATACTTGAAATGAAGAAGGTGGGAGTGGAATTACCCAGCAAGGAGTGTTCAAGTTGCTTCAAGCCACCACAATTCCATTGTCAAAAGCTACTACTTGGGGGATGCTTTATGATGTCAGCCCCAACAAATGAATATGGCTGGCATCAGCCACCTGATACCCCTGGGAGCATGGATCCTGGAAAATTAGGCCTGAGGTGGGCGTGGCATCTGTACTAGTGTTAGAGACGGGCCGTGCGAGGACCCAGCATGACCGTGGAAACCAACTGGCTAGAAGCAGGGTTGGGACAGCATGGTGTTAACTCTGACACACCCTGACCTTGAGAAACCTTTAGCACGACCCCACAAGACCTTTAGCATGCTGAGTAGCATCCTCTTTTACTCCCACATGCCTCAGGAGTCTGCACCATTGTTGTTGTGTCACTGCCCAAACAGCAGTCAGAGAATGTTCATTGTAACAAGTCTTCTTCATGCACTAAGGTGTCGGCTGATTTTGATGTGAGAATAGTAAGCTTTCCTCTTTAGGGGCCTCTGTGCATTTAACATTCTGCATAGCTTGCTGAGGACAGTGGCTGCAGGTACAACTTCCCCCTGTACCAAGCGTCTGGCTTCCGAGCGCAGCCACTTGTCACCGGGGTGCTGAAGTCCTGTCTCAAGGGTCTTTGCAGGACTGGGCAGTTTCCATCTGGAAGAGAAACTGATTACATGAGCTGAGAGTGCCGGCAGAGAGGCCCTGGCGAACCTCACATCCCCTCTCAAGGGGCAGGAAGCAGGAGAGAAAAGACTTCCCTTACCTGGCACAGAGAAATCTGGGTAGCTGGGCAGCAGCCCTTGGTGGATCAAAACTTCAGGAGGAGGAGTGGGACGTGGGGCGTTCACTCCATAAGTTCTAAACAATAAAAGCCATTAATGATAAAAAATAGCAAGCATAAATAAAATATTTTATGAATAATAAAATATTACATAATAAAAATATCACACAAAAATTTAATAATGACAAAAATGCATAATAATACTGGTCCTAGGTGATTATGGTATATTTATTTATTCATTTTTGAAGATTTTATTTATTTTAATTGGAAAGTCAGATTTATAGAGAGAAGGAGAGACAGAAAAATCTTCCACCTGCTGGTTTACTCCTCAAGTGGCCTCAGAGACTGGAGCTCAGCCAATCCAAAGCCAGGAGTTTCTTCCAGGTCTCCCATGCAGGTGCAGGGTCCCAAAGCTTTAGGTTGTTCTCTACTGTTTTTCCAGGCCACAAGCAGGGAGCTGGAAAGCAAGTGGAGCAGCCAGGATAGGAACCAACACCCACATGGGATCCTGGCTCATGTAAGGTGAGGACTTTAGCCACTAGGCTATCACACCAGGTCGTGGTGTATTTATTTTTAATCCTTACAATTTATTCCCATTTTATAGAAGAGATAAATTTGAGAGGCCTGGGGAGATGGCTCAATGAGCTAATCCTCCTCTTGCAAAGGCTGAGGTTGCATACAGACACCAGTTCATGTCCTAGCTACACCTCTTCCCATCCAGCTCCCCACTTATGGACTGGGAAAGCAGTAGAAGATGGCCCAAAGCCTTGAGACCCTGTGCCCATGTGGGAGACCTGGAAGAAGCTCCTGGCTCCTGGCTTTGGATCAGCTCAACCACTTTTTTTGGATCATTGTAGCCACTTGGGGTTAAACCAGTAGGTGGAAGATCTTTTTCTGTCTCTCCTTCTCTCTTTTTTTTTTTCCAATAGAAATAAATTATCTTTTTAAAAAAAAAAAAGAAAGAGAAAAATTGAGGCCACAGGAACCTCTCTCTGCAATGCCGTGGTATTCTCTAACACCTCATTTCCGCAGAACCTTTGGTCCTAGCCACCGCCAAGACATAGTGGGAAGAAGGGGTGAAGCTTCCCAACTTCTCCTTACAATCCAGTGAAGACCAGCAGCAGACTGTTGGGAAAGTGAAGGGTGGCTACTGGGAAGACCCTGTGATCCCAAACATAACAATCCCCTTCACACAAATTGGACATAGTCCAGCTTGATGCTACAATGGAACATCTGGTCAACCCCTTCCCCATATCTGCTCTTCTTTGACCTCACTGTCCATGGTTATAACTTAAGTCATACTTACATCTCATATGGCTTCAGAAGTGCCCTCCTGGCCTGTTCTGTGATGTTCACAAAGTCCTTGTAGCAGTTTCTGGCCATGACATTGTACCTCGTGGCACAGCCAAGTTCAGTGACGCTGGCTCTGGGCAGGTAGCCTGCCCAACCAGGGATGGGCGGTTCCTCGGGAGGTTTCCTTATGTGTTTACACTCTGTAAAACAGATACCATGCTGTCCCATTGAGAAGCCACATAGTGGACAGGGGACTCTAGGTAGCTGGTACCCCAACAGTCAGCCCAGGGCCGATCTCAGACTGGGGATGCAGCATAGGACAGCGACTGGTTACTACTACATGCAAACCCCAACTTAGCAGGTGTTTTTGCAATTATCTAGTTACCTCATACAGTGTGGGAGCATGGTCTTAACATTCCCTCCACCAATGGTAGAAGGTTATTGAGACCTGGAGGGAGTGAAAGGAGACTTGGTCAAGGCCACACAGACAGCTAAAAAAATGCTGTGGGGCCAGTCGGATGTAACTCCCAAGTGCCTGCTTCTCTCTTGCCTAGATGACTTAGTACTGAATGTGAATGTGAATTAGCATGTGAGTTAGGTGATAAAATAGAGTTTGAAATGGTATGTTGCTTTTATAAGAATAAAGCATTGAAAGGCAGATTGTTCAAGTCTCTTAATGGTGCTGGAAGGTGATAGAACTGCTGCGGACGGAGTGCCTGGATTGGGTAACTAGCTCTGGCTCCCAACGGTCTTCCTGCTGGTACAAGCCTTCAGAGGCACCTGCCACTCACATGGATAGACTGTCCATCTCCTGGTCCTCAGCCTAGGACTGTTGAGAGCATTTGGGAGGTGAACCAGTGTTGGGAGTACTCTGTCTCCCAAATTTTGGAAAGAAGGAAACAAGGAAGGGAGGGAGGGAAGGAAGGAAAGAGGAGGTTGGGAAAAGGGGGAGAGATGGGAAGAAAAGATACTGAGTATTTGCATGGAGTCTTGAAATCGTGCTGGGTTTGACATTCTCTTTGGTAACTCAGTGGCTACTGCGCTCTATCTTGAAAGCAGGGGTGAAGGGGAAATGGATGAGGAGAGCCCATACCCACACTTAAGGGGTGGTACTTCCGGTAGTAGTCATACACGGCCTGCTGCACTGTCTCCTCCGAGCACACGGGCTTCAGTCTGGGGGTAGCGGCCACCTTGCAGTGCAGCTCCTGCAGCCGGGCTTTGTACCTGCGCGTGCTCTCCTGGAAGGTTTTCAGGCAGTGGCCCATGTCTTCCTCGCTGGAGGCTCCCTCGCAGCTAACGTACGGCACAAAGCCTGCAAAAGCCAGTGGAGTCACAGCCTTGACCGAAGCTGGCTGGGTGTGCAGAATCCACTTAAACTGCCCCAAATGTGGGCATCCGCCCACTCAGCACTTCCTCCTGGGGCCAACAAAGCTGCATTTCCTCCAAGGCCATTAGCACAAGCAGCGCTGTTGTTTCCTCCATGGCTGGGCCCTCCCAAGGCCACCAGAAAAATGACCTTGGAGCTGGGGCAGACAGGCACAGCCCCTTGATGTCAGCCTGCATGGCAGATGGGGAAAGCATGTAATGGGCCAAAATGATGGGCTGAGGAGCCCCGGAAATTATTCCTCTTTCTAGAGAGAGAAAGCTTATTTCCCTGACACTTCCCAAGTGTAATTTGGGATCTTTCCTGCTGGACCATCAGGAAATTGAGGGCTTATTAAAAAGCAGAGAGCTATTACACACAAAGGTAAATTCTTTATCTGTAAGATCCACCCCCAGGACAATTTTGCACCATTTCCACCCACTAAGAGATAAGCATCGAGCATGACCGGTGAGGCACAGCTCTTGGTTTAAACTGGAGGCTGAATCCTCAGCAGTATGATGCTGTGGCCATAAAATCACTTTTTAAGAGACTAAATGAGAAAAAACAGGTTAAGAACTGAGCTTTAAATGGCAAAAGTATGTGTGTGTGTGTGTGTGTGTGTGTGTGTGTACACATTAGGGACAGACCAACATTTTTCCCTTGGTTCCAATGTCAGGAAAGTCAGGTTTCAAAGCTGATGACAGCAACTCTCTCTCCAAACCCTGTGATAAGCCACCCCCAGAGGAACCACACTGCCGATCCTGTTGGTGCTGCAAGTCCTCCACCTGCCACTGCATCACCTCAGTCCTTGGGGAATCACAAATAGTCATTCCACAGAAACCCAGGGGTCCAGGGACAGTCCCTTCATTCCACACTAGCAGGCCCTACTTTGGCCTGTAAATATTTTATGAGAGTGTACATATGCATGGTGGAAGGGCACAAACACACACACACACACACACACAAACACACGAGGAGGTGGGGGGAACACAAACCACCTTCACAGGGTCTCACTAAGGACCATCTGCTGGCTCTTCTAAACCTTAAAAACAATCCAAAAAACCTTATGGAGTGTGTTGAGGTGTAGCCTTGCAGCCCTAATGCCTGAAACCTGGGGATGTGAGCTATTTGGAAGTAAGATCTTTGCAAATGCAATTAGATCAACGAGTTAGAAAGAAGATCCTTCTGGATTTGGGGTAGGACCTAAACTGAGAAACTGGTACCTTCAGTGTAAAAGGAGAGAGATTTGAGACACAGCAACACAAGGACACCGTGCGGAAAGACCCCAGGAAGAGGGAGAGAGCAACTAGAATGACACTACCTTGAACCAAGACCACCCATGGAGCCAGCGGTACAGGACTGTATCCTGGCACCAGCACAGCCCCTCCCTACAGACTGACTGCAGAGCCTCCAGGTCCACAAGCAAAAAAGATCCTGTTGCTTTAGACCATCCATTAAGGGTGGTTGGCTATAGTCATTCTGGACTACACCCCTGCTCTAGAGTTGTCTGTTGACTACAGAGAGGTTCCTCTCTTATAGATGTACACTGGGCAGGCAGGGACCTGAAGCTTGGTGCATCAGGATCCAAATCCTGCCTTCTCACCTCACCAGGAGCACAGGGTATAGCTGGGACTGTTCCCCAGCACCACCTCCTCCAGACTGTATGTGAGAGCGGGGAGCCTTTGGGGACCACAGAACCTGCCACTGGCAGGGATACTGTGAGGTTGTAAGTTCCCAGCAATCCAGGAGTTGGAGGATGAAGAACTTTTAGGTCAGGTGAACAGCTCTTTTGATTTTCCAGCAGCAAGACTTTCACTGTTTACCACCATGACAGCCCTAGGAAATCGGGGCCCTTGGCCACCTTCCTTTGAGGGATCACAGGAGAGAATGACAATGTCATTTGGTAGGGACAGAGAGCCCCACCTGGAAAGGACAGGCCCCGGCTTATTTGTGTCTTCGGAATCTTTTGTCTATCCTGGTCCAGACTCACCCATCAGGCATTCAGTGCTTCCTGCATCCCAGGCCACCTCTGGGAACTCAGCTATCGGGGATCAGCACTCTGTTTAACACCAGAGCACTTGTGCAGAGCTGGTTGGCCAGGTAGGCATGGATGGTGGGCCAGACAAGGACTCAGCCCGAAACCACCATTCTGCCAGCCATGTCCACACTTACCACTGTAGCCTGGTGTGATTGGCAGCATTCTCATGAAGGTCTTAGAAGACTCCATGACTTTTGTTCTCTGTGAAGGAGGTAAAGGGGAATGAAATCGTCTCATCAGAAGTCCCTGGCTTAAGAACGTACTATACTAGAGCTCAGAACGGAAGAAAGACTTTGTTCAGGGCTGGGACGAAGAGGCAGCATCATCCATCATCTTGCCTGACAAGCACACACACACACACACACACACACACACATACACACACACAACTGGCTTCAGATTTATCCAAGGGGACCACTGCACTTTCCATTAACCTGGTAAAGGTCTGCTTCCCATTCATCCAACTTTCCATCCACATATCCATCTATCCATCAACCCACCCACACATCAATCCATCCATGTGCTTGTCCATCCATCCATCCACACCAGGGCCATGGAATGTGACAGAGGCCAGGAATACCAAGAGCAAGACCCAGGAGCCTTCAGGTGAGAGGAGAGATGAGGCACCCACACCACCAGGTGGAATCAGTTGCAGTTGGAATGTCTGCTTCCATCCCCCAGCTCCAGGGACATCTGGTAACCTCTAGACACATTGTTGGTTGCCAGGGGATTGGAAGCATCTGGAATCTACCAGAAGAATGCAGTTAAACATCCCCCAGTGCACGGACACACGCCCACAACGAAGAATCAAGAGTGAGCCCTGCTGGAAGGGCTCAGGAACTTCTTTGACAACGGCATGGATTCCCAGCTGGGTGAGCAGAGACCCGGGGCTCCATTGTAATACCAATTTATGTGAATGTTTTCTCTGATGCAGGTGACCTCTCCCTTCTCTGTGGGCAGTGCCTCCCACCCCCAACGCACCAGGGCCTGCCTTGGATTCTGTGGACAAGACCATGTCCCACCCTGCACGGATAGGTTCTTGAGAACAACACCTCCAAAGCCAGGTTAAAGGGCATCAGGCTGTAGAGGAGGGCCAAGTCATCAAACAGCTCAGTCTCCACCCGCTTAGGAGTAGTGAGGCTCATGGGTGGCCCTACCATCCATCCTACAGAGCTGGCTGTGCATCTACCAAGAGTTGTTCTCAAAGCACTGCCTGGGTTGACTTCCTGAAGTCCCTCAATAGTCCCCCCATTCAGAAGGGGACAAAACCCAGCAGCATTGACTGGGCAATGGTGTGCAGATGCCACTGAAGGAAAGAGCTATCCTTGTGTAATCGCCACAGCTTGGGGTGGAAGAGGATGATCTAAACTCCGAGGGTCGGGATAGCAGCAAAAGGATATCAGCTGGAGAAGGCGAGTAGGGAGGAGCTAGATAACATCAGTAGGAAACACCCCCTCCCTGCCGTCTGCAGGATCACCTGGATCCCCCCCGCTGGAGGCCAGCTGGGTCCTCCACTGTGCCTTCTCAGCCTCACCGCCCTGAGACTTTCCTTTGTGCGGTCACCCTGCGCGGGAAGCAGGGTGACCTGTGCGCTCTCACCCCAGTCTCCGCCCAGCGTCCTCGCCCCTTTTCCTCCCCTCCCCCTCGCCATACCTGGATCCCTACCGGACCAGACCGACCAGAGAACAGAGTGAACTAGAGATTGGGGTACCCTGTCCCCCACCCCCGCAGCGCCCCGCCCTCCCAGCCTGGGCAGGACGTGCGGTCCACACATTTGCCACAAGCTGTCTGCCTTAGTCGTCTCCCACAGTGGGACACAGGGCTATGTGAGCAGGGCTTTAGGTCTCTGAAACTGGACTGCTGGGGGCGCGGGGAGTGGTAGAGCGGCGGGCAGGGGCATGGATGTCCTCCCGTTTTCCCTCTGGAGTGCCGGGCTAAGGCAGAGTCCCAGGCCCTGGCCCCAAATTCTGGCAGTGTGAGGGGCCGGCAGGCGGCGGTGGGGCTGCAGGGAAGACCCGTCCAGGGCTTAGCCCCACCACGTAGGCGCATGGGCACAGGTGCAGGGGTCCATGCCAGCAAAGGGCTGTGTGAAGCTAGTAAGGTTGCCTCCTGAGACTGCGATTTATGGAAGTAACGGAGACCGTGCCTTATCTGACTGGAGTGAAATTCACCAAGAAAATCACACTGGTGTGAACCAGGCAGAGAGGGAACCGACGGCTCTCCCAACCTGCACCAGCTGCTCCTTCCAGTGCAGGAAAACCCAGCGCGGCTGTCTGGTGACACTGCAGCCCCCCAGCCTCTCTTCTACTGGCAATTAAGCCTCAGATGAGGCCTACCATGAGGCAACATCTTCATTCCACTCTTGGAGCCCTAGAAGCTTCTAGGACCAGCTGCAAAGTGTGACCCTGGTCTGGCGCCAGGAAGAAATCCAAAGCTCTGAATGCAGTTACATGTGCCTGCCAGGACGCCCGAGGCCAGGGCACTATCCCAGGCCCATTGAATTTCTAAAATGACTTTCCTTTGGGTGCAGTGAAGTTGTCAGGCGTCCCCAGACCTAAGTGCCTCCTCTCCGGCTAGCCAACTTTCTTCTGGGACGCGCCAGCCGCCTTGGTTCCCAGCACATGAAAGCAAGGCGGGGCTGGTATGGTGACAGTGACTGTAGATCAAGCTTACCTGAGCCAACAAGGGCCCTGCCGACCAACTCCACCTGACACAGGTACAGGGGGGTGGTCCATGATGCCCCATGCTTTGTGGCACTGACAAACCCAGAACAGAAACAGAGCCACTACTGCTCACACAAGATCCAGAGTTTTTTCTTTATTAGACATTGGTGAAGGCAAGAGTTTATAGATACGATCCTGTCAGGCTTGTGAACTGCTGTGAAGTTTGGCAAAGTGTGGGCTTTTTCTCATGGTGAACCAGTCCCCAGTGGTTGAGATTTTTGGGGTACTGTTTCCTATTTCAAGCAGATGAGATGGGGGCAGATATGATGGCCAACAACTGCGATGCTGGTCATCTCTGTCGGCCATTTCCCAGCATACATACATACATCATACATCATACATGGCATCATCACGGCTAATACATCTCTACAAAGTGAAATTCCATCTCCGGCTAATAGTGCAGTTGACTCCTGCTTCTATTGGTGCATGCAATTCATTGCTACCCTGGCAATTAACCAGACGTGGACTCTAAAAGCTAAACTTGGTCTAGATAACATTCTAAGGGTGAGGCAGGCTCTGTCATCTGGACTCATCTCAACCCTCATGCTGCAAAATCACTTGTTTGCCGCCCTCCTCTTCCCCATGCTGTCCTGTAACTTGTAACTTGTTGTTCAACATTCATGATTGCCTTCTGGGTACAGAAAGGGTAGTTACAGAGGAAATCCTTGATGGCTCTGCTTCCAAGAAACGTGCCCATCAGACAAGAAGGCCAGGGGCAACTGAGCAATGAGTCAAGACAACAGGCCTTCTAGAAACATTCTAAGATTAGGAAATGTGTCCCAGTGTAATTACCCAGTGTTCTTATTCTAGAATATTTCTGCAGGTGGGGATGGATTTGAAGGTCTCATTTAAAGAGTTTAACTACTCAGGCTGCATCTCTGGGGCCAGAAGGAAGTCCAATAAAATTATCACACCCTGTCCATCATCTATTTGCCAAGATTGCAGATTTCCATCAGTTCATAAAAGAGAAATAGTAGCCAAGGAGATATCATCAATGCAAGGAGGGAAAGGCTTAACATTAGCAAAAGAAAAAAGAAGAGGAAGTTGACTATATTATTCATGATTACACTGAGCCCAGTAGACAAGCTGCGTTTAGCACTTGATGTCTTCCCTTGGTCCTGGAATATTAAAAACATCACACCCAAGAGACCACATGGTACCCTTGGAGTGATTGCTTTGCCTCACAGGGGAGAGCTGGATGGCCCTGCAGGATGTAAAGAATTTCACAGGCTTTTCTGTATAGGACCAGAATGTTCCACTTTCTAACTCTGGACAGGAGAATGGATTCATAATGCTTGGAAGTTGACCAATGGATCTCTGGGAAGGATGTGTGTGTGTGTGTGTGTGTGTGTGTGTGTGTGTGTGAGAGAGTAAGGGTTGATGCACATACTCAGAGGGGCCTGACTTAGGCACCTCCATCTTTCTACACACACATAGTCCCTAGCTAGACATCAGCAAAAATGGATGATGCATGGGTGCAATTAAGAAAATAAGCTGTGCAAAATTTAGGACAGCAAGGTCAACAACAAAAGCCATAGAGTATTATTTCAAACAAGACAAGCGCGTGGTAGAAATAAACATTCTGTACAAGATTCTAACATTGTATATACATAAAAGATTACTCGGAAGTAAGCTGAAAAGTCTTCTTTGTAGAAGAATATGGCTGGCAACACCAAAGAGAGACCCTTGACAAAGCTTTGGAGGCAGAGCAGGCAACAAGGGAACACTAGCAAACGCTTGGCACCTGCCATGACGGGATGGGGCTCACGTTCCCTGGGTCTGTGGCTTGTGGGTGCTTCACATTCTAGTAGGAGTTCTGCAGCAGGAGAGGTGAAGAAGGCGATGTGACAAAATGAAATTTGAAAAAGCGATTTAAAATCTGCATATCAGCTATGCTAATGGGTCTATTCCAAGTCTGTTCGCTCATTCTCTATTCAATCATGATGCATGCCTCCAGTTATTTGAAATTGGAATGAATTCCAGCAGGTGGAAAAGACAGTTTGGAAAAGATCAGATAGGCTGAGTCAGATTCTTGAATTTTTCTTCCTTAGTTGATTCCCGATGCTTGGAGGTATCAGGAGACCCAGTGTGGGAGATCAGGTCTGTTCTTAGTCCTTCTCTTCTGAATTCTTTTTCCTCTTAGATCCATCCTATACAAGTACCATCCCCAAGCCAGGGGCAGGCCAGCCCACTCACACAAAGCATGAACTGTGGCGCCACTCACCACAAGTCAGCTCTCTTCCAGAGCGAGCCCTCCATGAGGCCAGAGGGTGCAGGTTGCGGTCCCTGTTTCAGCTTCAACAAAACTGAAAAGTTAGGAAATTGCATTTTCAGTGTGACTTTAAGCACTTGTGGTATAGCCTAAAGATGCCCCCTGTTCAAGAGTCAGGACCCAGGCTCTCATTTTTAACAAGCACTCACATGATGCTGATGTAGTGAGCCACAGATCTGCCTTGAGAAAAAGTA